TCTTTAATGACCTGACAACAGTATCGCGACTATATTCCTTCTGAATAAGTCTGCTTTAAAAGTTTGGTTAGCTTTTGAGGTGAATGACGACATTTTTGTGCTTTGTTTAGAATATTACCATAAAATATTGGATGTGAAATACCTGAACGTTTAAGATGTCTGCATGTTGATTTATATCTACGAATGATGTCCTTGTACCGATGATAAAATTTAGTAAATGTTTTGACAAGTTCGTGATATCGAAAACCCTGGTGTAATAATTTTCCAGTAATACAGAGATTTATTTTGTTAAAATCAAATACGTTGTTACATACACGAGCGAATAGAACAAGTTGAGATATAAAAACACCATAAGATGGTGACAAGATACGTCACCATATAAAAATGAATAATTAACAATAGGAAATGAAGAATCATCTCTTTCATCGTAAATTTTGGTATTTAGTCTCCCGATAAAGTTATAGATATCAAAATCCAGGAAAGGGCTGTGTTCATTGTTAGTATTAGCTTTATTTAAAGTCAGCTCAGCAGGATAAATCTCTTTAGTGTACATACTGAAGTCGTCATTATTGAGAGCCAATATATCATCCAAATATCTAAAAGTGTTATTAAATTTTTGTATCAGATGTTGTTTCGATGGGTCTTTGCTGAAGTTAGTGATAAATTGTAACTCGTAACAATACAGAAACAGGTCCGCAATAAGTTTTGCACAGTTAGTCCATATTGGAATTCCGATAACGAACTCCATAGAAAACAAAAATGTTATCTAGTAAAAATTCAAGTGCAGTTATCGTATCAAAGCAGGTCCAATTGATATAGTTCTTTTTGTTTGTTGTTACTAAAAAATAACCTATAAGGGTTTGAACATATATATTTGCATTCTGACTTTTTAAATGCCCATTTAATTAGGTGTGTGAATTTTTTCTTCATGAGATTATGAGGCAAAGTGGTGTATAGGGTTGAAAAATCAAAACTTTGAACTGATTCGAAATCACCAATATGAGCATGCAATTTATCAAGTACTTCCAACGAGTTTTTGACACTTTAAAGGTAATTAATTCCACTATTTTCAAAGGCCTTATTTGAACCATTTATTAACAGGTTTTTGATTGTACCAAGTGTACTAGTAAGTAGAATAGACAATTTAGTAGTGGAACAATGGCTTGAAGACGGATTTTTGACAGCTATTTCTCGTTTTATTCATTTCGTGCAGTAAGTACGGAGTGAGTCGTGGATGTTAGATAAATAATCGACGGGGGACGATATTTAGGTCCTTTACAGAGGAATGATTTCAACTCTCGGTCATGGACGTTGTTAAGGTCTCCTGTTATAACATGGGAACTGGGGCCATAAATGTATTCGGAATTACTGCAATTTCATAACGTATGTGTATTGTCACTGATATTAACATCTATACACACCTCGCTATAATTAAAAACATATTTCTGGGTAGATTTTTTGTAAACATAACAAACAAGAGGGAGCTCAGTAATATCAAAATGGCCAGGAATTTGTTCTTTAACGGAATGATCATTTAAAATACCGGCAATATTTACAAAATCAAGACTTTTATTGACCTATTTGAATTTAATGAAATGTTTTTTATGATCTTCAGGGCGATCAATTTTGGAAAACAGTTTAGAATAACAATATGCAATTATAATTTGGACGATTTCATACTTAGGACTGCAATATGGTATTGTTTATTAACAGGTAAAGAACAGGGCTTGGTTAACAGATAACGTATGCCGTTGATTTTTGAAATAGTAATTATGCATTTATAGAACTTTTTTTTCAAATAATTCTTTTATACTTGATTGTATCTTTAAAAGGATACATGCTACATGTATCAATCTCGATATTCGGGTGCAGTTTAAAGTCTAATAAATGCATACATCCGAAATATCGGCCAAATTGAGTATACTTCGCCTTAATACAATACGATTTAAACTTTGTCTCTGCAGATTTTCAAGTATACTTCATTGAGAAGATTTTGATTTCTACGAAGAAGGTCAGATTGAAGGGCGAACAATTTGAACTGTTACAGTATATGAAGGATATGTACGTAAGGGACGAAAATTTTGCATTGCAACAGGTGTGTACATACAACTTCATGTGTTTATCCACAGTACTTATAACATGTCGATTTCCTTCCACATACCAGAACAGACGAGACTGTGAATTTAGTCATCCCTCAAAACATAGCAAGTTCCCAACTCAACAAGGTTTGTCTTATTGACGGACGGGGGGAGTCTAGATTATTCACTAGTTATAAATATGTATACCCAAGTCACCCCTGTGGTGGTCAAGATAATATAAGTCACGTTTACTTAAGAATATTTCATATCCTTATCTTAACATAATCTTATTATATTAATATAAATGTAGTATGGCCAACTCCATAAGTTTTTATTTTACTCTACTAATTTTTGGTAAGTTTTAAGAACTGTTATTTTTGTCATTAATTTCAATGAACCATTTTCTTCAGAATAGTTTTAAAACTATGAAGCGTCTAAAATAAACGAACAATTCCAGTATGAATTTAGCTAAATATACACTTATAAATATTGTTTTCCTTATCAATTAATAAAGTTCGCTATTATTGTATACTTAGTAATTTTTGGTAAAATTCTTTGAAACAATATTATGTAGGTTTGTTATTCATGTACAGTAGCTATGTTTTTGTCGCACATACACTTGATAATCTTGAGTTTGGTACATTTTTTATATTGATTTTATTGTTTATTAAGCGTTAATCTTTATAAGTTTTGTTATTCGCTAGGACCAAAGAAACTCCGGAAGGGATGAGTAGTAAACAAAACAAGTTTAACCACGCAGTAAGCAAATTTGCCTGTCCCATTTCAAGAATCTTGTATGTGGTTGTCATTGTCTATTTCGCATTCTAGTTTGTTTGTTTTGTTTGTTAGTTTTTGTTTTTTGTTTGTTGTTGTTTTTTTTTTTGGGGGGGGGGGGGGGGTAATTCTTCTCAATATGTATTTACTTAATTCGTATCAAGAAGTTGGTATAGTTTTGATTTTGGTAACCGCTAAACTATGGTAAATAAAGGCAACAGTAGTATACCGCTGTTCAAAAGTCATAAATCTATTCAAAGAAAACAAATCCGGGTTACAAACTAAAACCGAGGGAAACACATCAACTATAAGAGGAAAATAAAGGAACAACAGAAACACTGAACTTCAACAAAAACAAACGCCAACATACATAGAAACGGACTATTTGATAACAACTGCCATATTCCTGTCTTGTTGAATCTTTCGTGATTTACAGTAGGTGAAAGTGTTAAATATATATAATGAGATTAAATGTATCTTTAAACAATGGTACTATTTAAAAATGTATGTTTGCTAACTAGCGTAATAAAAATAGAGAAAAGATTAATTACTAGGGGCAAATTTCTATTTTGAATACAAATTATACAGTACACATGTCATAGGTTTTATAACGAACTCATGATGTGTTTTTTGTCGGGTTTGATAGCAGTACAATATTAAGACCAACGGAAAAAGATAAAGGCTACATAAAATAGACCAATTTACAGATGGAAAATCTCGGATTTAAGATATCAACATTTAGATAAACAAAATGATGGCAGTAAAATGGTCATTTTTACCAATGCTGAAAATGTGTGTATTTGCAGTTTAAAACTTTGATTTAGAAACGATAAATTAATATTTCTTGGTATAAAATATATACATAACTTGAAATAAAATACGCCAAAATCGTCAGACGACTCCATAAATAAATTCATCAAACCTACTGCCCTTAAATGACAATGATAACCAATTTGTTGGTGTTTTGGCTTTTTATCTTAAAAACTATAATAAATAGGGAGAAACTTTTTAGAGCAACTATGATCAGTCAGACAAGATCTACAAATAAGCTTACTGCTCAAAATTGTCAGTCAGCTCCTTAAAGAAGTTATTGCCCTTAAATGACAATTTTTATCTTTTTGTTTTTTGTTTTTTTTTATATTATCTTGAAAACTATAACAAATAGTTAAATGACAAAACTGATCAGCCAGATAAGATGAATAAAAACAGCTCCATGACCGGAATTGTTAGTCGACTACTATAGGGTTTATTTCCTTTTAAGGATTTTTACAATTTTTTTTAACCTCTTCGCCTATGATATTTAGGATTGCGATATATAGAGAAAAACACTAAATAGCAAAAGTTATCAGCAATTGAAGATCTACTTATAAGTCAACAAAGTAGAAATCTTCAGTCAAATCAATATATATGTATAACAGTTATTAGCCTTAATGAGGATGTTTATCCATGTTTTGTGTTTTGGGGAAAAATTATAGAATCAAAAATGAAATTTCAAACCGTAAAAATGATCAGCAAGACGAGATTTACAAATAAGTCGCATAGCTGAAATTATCAGTCCATTCCTTACAGCAGTTATTGCCCTTAAGTAAGATTTTTGTTTTCCATTTTATTTTATGTTTTGGCTAAAACTATAGAAGAGAAAACTGTAAACAACAAAAATGATCAACAACAAAGAGAATTTTTGTCATGAACCAAATTATAGTCGTAATGTTTGTGTGGCCATCCATTGTTGAAGTTGCACATAGTTTCAGGTTTTGACACATGCTCTTTGGAGCCTCTAGTTAGAACTGTCAGACTTCAACGGTCAAATTACGGGCAATTTAATATGATCAAAGGTCATAAAGTTGTTGAGAATCGAAATGCGGATGTTGTCTTTATTTTAAAGACAACACTTTTGCTAGCTATTTGAGAATTCGAAAAATGGCAAATCATTTACCTGTATTTGACCAATATTTCATTTGGACATTGTTTTTAAGAATGCACAGTTGTGACTCTATAACAGCAATCTTTATCAATACGTGTATCAACCCAAATTTGCTAGCCTTATGAAGGATATTATTGTTAAAAGCTAGGTATAAAATACTATTTATCAAATTATTGTGTAGGTTAAAGTATTCTATAACAATATTACTCTATACTTATATTTCAGTGCCAACTGCCACAGCATTCAATTGTTTTACAGAATTATGTCGTGGGGCAGAGGTAAAATGCTTATAATTTATTATTACTATCATTCCAAGATACATGCAGATAATTTGGTGTCGGTTCCATCTTTTTCATGATCAAAGATGATTAAACATGCATTGTTGTGGTCACGATTTTTGAAATGTTATTCTTAGTAAGTGCTTCAGTTTAAATTCATGATTTCCTGTTTGCTCCTTTTACTTAGATTTGTAATAGCAGTTAGAAAGCAGATAAAAATTGTAATATAAATTTAAATTATAATTTCCATTGAATTCACACAGAAAAGCGTAAGGGTCTGCTAGAGTATTGTCCTGCTGTTTCTGAGATATAAGGTTCAATATAAAAATAAGAAGATGTGGTATGATTGCCAATTAGACAACTCTCCACAAGAGACCAAATGACATAGAAATTAACAACTATACGTCACCGTATGGCCTTCAACAATTAGCAAAACCCATACCGCATAGTCATCTATAAAAGGCACCAAAATGACAAATGTAAAACAATCCAAACGAGAAAACTAACGGCCTGATTAATGTACAAAATGATGAACGAAAAACAAATATGATATACAGCAACAAACGACAACATATGAATTACAGTCTCCTGACTTGGGACAGGAACATACAGAATGTGGCGGTGTTAAACTAGTGTGTTGGCGCCAACTCTCCCCTAACCTGGGACAGTGGTGTAACAGTACAACATAAGAACAAATTATAAAAAATCAGTTAAAAAGGGCTTAACTCATCAGATCGATACAAACCAATTAATTCTTATAAAAATAGGAAAATAACTTCAAATTTTGACGTTAGGTATTTTCGAATTATTCAAACACTGGTATTTTGAAACTTCTTCTGTTTAGACCATTTCAATATAAACCTGGATCATTCCGTACCCGGAGTTAACATAGGTCTGTGCTTGAGTGTGCATTTTTCTTTCTCTGTAGTCTTTTATGAAATGAATTATAGCAAATCTTGGTATGTTTTAGGTTTGCAAACTAGAGTTTAAAGATGCATATATAGCAAACAGTAGCTGTGAAGAACCTCATCGTGTAAGTACTATATATAAAGTTAAAACGAACTGTTTCCTTTTTTACAGGGCTATGTCGTTTAACGCGGATTGTTCAAAAGGCCAGTGTGACTTATTACAGTTACTTGGCTCTGTCGTTAGTGTCCTTTGCAACAAGGATGTAAACTACAGGCCACCTTTACATTAAGCATTTGTGTATCACAATGTCTACTGCAATTTGTGGAGAATGAAGTTGTTTTGTCGTTTAAATGTTTTTCAGAATGGTTTCTAACATCTTATAATCTTTTTTTCGTACTATAAATATACCGTTTCTTAATCATGAACAGCTAAATTTTTGATAGAAAGGTACTTATTATTTTTCATTATATGTACAAGACAACATTAACCTGGTTTACAGAGGCAAATTTTGCAGAAACGTACAGCAATTGTTATTAAATACTAATGAAAATAATTGCGGAAAAAAGGCCACATAGCCCTGTAAAAATTAATAGAAGTAGTTGTCACGTGATAGGAGAAATAAATGTATTGGTAATCTGATACGCAAATTTAACTTGAAGGTTTCTACAAGTGATCAGCCGACAATGAGTTGTATTTCAAAACTTTATTAGTGAAATATTAATGATGTATCAATGAAGATTAAAAATAAAATAGATAGTAGACAATCATCATTTTCACTTATCGTTTTAGCAAGGGCATGCAGTTGATTCTAAATGTGGATTTTATTTTCCTACTAGCGGTAAATGTTTCTGTGAAGATCCAGGCTGTATGCAAAGGCTATGTAAGTGTTAATCGACATACTCAGACTCATTTTTAGGTTCAGTATTTTAAAAAAATCCAATAAATGCGAATGTATAGATTCGATTGCCTTAATTTTACTCTTTGCAATAACATTTAGATGTATAGCAGAATGTTTCAATCAGTAGGATTTTGAATGGTCTCAAATATAATTTGTGCTTTGATTTTGTAGATTCCCTGACCACCACTATCGGGACGACCATTCCAACAACTACATTAACAACAACTTTTTCAGGTAACATGCAAGAAGTTAACACATACTTAAAGAAGTTTACAGGTGTCTTTTATTTAAATTTTTAATAGATAGACCATTTTCCTTAGTTTTTTTTTTCAAAATTTATTGTAATATCAAAATGAATAAAAAATTAGATCATACTTTCAATTTTTTTTCTTTCGAAATATCATCATACCTATCATTTCAGCATAATAAGTTATAAGTTCATGAGCATACATATGATAAGAGCTTTTACGTTAAGTGAAAGAAGTGTTCTTCTCCTTACCGACTTATTCATTTTTTCGTAATAGGCAGACATTATGTAGGAGCTTCTGGATTTCTTTTCACAAAAAGTCTTACGATAAAAATTGATCGTAAATTATACTGAAATATTCATGACTTACGAGATGTTTTTCTCGTAAGATTTTTTGTGAAATGAGTCGCTGGAGATTTTGAAGGTTTACATTCCGCTAAATAGATGATGTTTTCTCAGTGAATAAATCCAAGTTTATTGACTGTATTAATCTAATCTATCCAAAATTTAAAAAAATGGATATTACAAATACACTTTTAAATCTTGACTTACATCTAGTAAACAACAATCGGTTTCGCGCTAAACTTAGCGACACTAGAGATGGCAGATTTTCTCATTGGTATCTTTCTGTTTTTATGTAGCCAAATTCAAGCAGAACCGGCATATAAATTACTAATATATACCTCCCTGATGGTAGGATAAGTCAAGGCTGTGTATTTTTCCATGTATTTTGCCTGTTAAATATTTTATAGACGATGCTTGTGCTCTTTGTGTATTATTTTTAATTGTACATGAGAACTACTATTTAGCGGGGACATCTGTTGATTTAACAATGCTATCAGCATCTATGTACTGCATCAAAGCAACACAATCAATTGGAAAAACATGTTTCTTGAGTTTTATTTTGTATTTTAAGAAAAATCTACACAGCCAGTATGTATGGACTTTGATGCGAGATGTAACAACAGTATCTACCAACAAATTTTATGTGGATCAAAAGATCCGTCAAGTATATCACTTGCCGTTTCTACATGTCCGAAAACATGTAATCTTTGTGATGAATATTTTGGTAGGTAAAAAAGAACATTAATTGAGAATTGAATGGTTCATTTTGTAGGGGTTTTTTTTTTTTGGGGGGGGGGGGGGGGGATCGTTGACCGAAGCACATTTAATATATAGCGCGGAAGCACTTCGTTCTAAAAATATGCTCATGGTCTACGTTTTTTTTTACAACCTCATAAAACAACAAAAGGATGTTTTAATTCGTGTGATTTGATTTCAATGTTAAAAAATGCAGAAAAGTGTAAGTTACTTCATAATAATAATAATAAAATTCTTTATTTAACGAAGGTCTCAAGCTTCTTGGTGATTTTTTCTTTTCTCTCAAATATACCCTACCCATTTTCGTAACGTTGTCACTGAGAGCACTTGCAGTTATGGATATTGCGTTGCATTACATTGCCAAACATGCTTGTTGTTTGTCAAAATAGTGTAATCCTTATGAAATATCTATAAAATGAAATTATTTACAAATATTATATGTATAAGTCAAGCATGATAACAATTTTTAACACTACGAAAGAGAAAATGCAAAGAGAATACGAAATGTTTAGATTGGACAATCTTAAAATAGTTATATATCACTGAAATCTGTATTTTACATGTGCATTGCTACCGTTCTGTCATGATTTCAAAGATACATTTTGACTGTTAATTTTCAGTTTATAAATTATGTAACTGTACTAGATCAAGGTTGCAACTTTCTCAGACATTGTTAACCTTGACGGTTTGGGCATTTCTTTGTAGGTCATTTTGGTTTTGTTACTCGGGTTTACTTGATGAAAGTTGCTATAGAAACACAAGTCGTGCGCACTAAAATTGATATATCATACGTTTATATGATAAATCTGAACTAAGAATTTGTTTTCATATTTTTTTGTTATGCTGAATACATACCTTTGTTGAGGTTTCTTTGAGAAAAAAAAAAGATCACAGAAAATTAAGCAGGGTTTCGTACATATGCATTTGAATATAAAACAGTACATACATAATTTAATGTTTTTCTTACTTGTTTTGCAGCGCAGCTAACTACTATGGCCCCACAAGCTGTCACCGTTATTACAACTAAAGGTAAAAATAAACATAGTGCATGAACTTATTTTGTGTCATGGATGGATACCCATATCCTTGTTTTTGGTATTGAGTGAAGATATTTGGAACTTTTGTTCATCAGATTTGGAACCGGTATACACATGATTATAAAATTAACAAACAACCAGTACTGCTTATTATAAAGTGTTAACAAGTATGATTCCAACTTTTATGTCAACCAAAATAATGAACTTTATTAAAACACAAAGAAAATGTTTAGGAAATGTAATCGATTCCTATATGACTGTTTAGCAGAATAACTTGAATCGGAAATTGTAGCCCAAAATTCCCTGTTTTTTTTCCGCACAGTAATGGCTTTGGAGTTCATTCTATTCCACTATAATATTTGCGACTGGATTTAGGGTATATGACATTACATCGGTAAACTTTCTTCATAGTATATATCAACATATTATTTTGAATATAAAAATGTTAACAATAAAAATGAAAACATCAGATACCTGCTATGAATGTTTAAAATGAAATTGAATTTTTAGAAATGTTAACTACGCCGACTACAACAGCTATACCTACTGCGACTACAACAAAGTCACCAACCACAAGTACACCGACTACAGCAACTTCAGCAACCACAACCACTACACCAACCACGACAAGTTCACCGACTACAACAACCTTACCAACCACAACAACTACACCGACTACAACAACTACAACGACATCAACAACTTCACCAACAACAACAACTACTTCTACGACAACAACTACTCCAACCACAACAACTACTCCAACCACAACAACTTCACCAACAACAACTACTCCTACGACAACAACTACTCCAACCACAACTACTCCTACGACGACAACAACTCCAACCACTACAACTTCACTAACCACACCAACTACACCAACCACAACAACAAAGCCGACTACAACTACTTCACCTACCACAACAACTTCACCGACTACTACAACTTCACCAACCCCTGTTTCAACACAATTGACAAATACTCAAGGTATTTGAATATTAAATATTGACATAATTTACAGAAAGTATACCATTCAAAATAACTTCTTTTAACTAAAGAAACTTAATTTTGTCCCGATGTATCAATAAATGGATCGTTAAAATACACAACGACCAAAACAAATAATTAGAAAAATTAATTCCATGCGCTATGAAACAATAACAATTGAATGTGGTTAAATATTTACTAGAAGATGTGCACAATATTAATGAGCGTTACCATGTATCTCGGAAATTATTGTCCAAATACTAATTTAAATAATAAATAATTAATTCAAATAGTGTTTGAAAAACAGAAAGTAAAGAGTACAACCCATTGGTGGTATTCGGCTGTTGTCTGCTCTTTGGTCTGGTTGTTGTCTCTTTGACATATTCCCCATTTTCCTTCTCAATTTTATAACCAATGGTAATTGAATATAATGTAATTGTCGTGTCTTTATATTACCAAACAAAGAATTAAAGAGATAGTTGTTTACATCATTATCATTTGGTCTTTGTAGGATGCTGTCTTATTATACTCCATCTGCTTAATTCTGAATAGGTATATGATATTAAAAACTTAGTATTTTTGTTCATACTTCAGTAACCACAGCACAGCTTACATGCACTGACCAAAACATCAAATGTAATGATCACATCTTTACCGGTTTCCTGTGTTCAAACTTAGACCCGACAAATTTAGACTATGCCATTGCTACATGTCCAAAGACCTGTAATCGTTGTGCTGAATATTACGGTAAGTACTTAGGTATAAAATTATTTTTACCATTAACAAGCCTATGTAACAATTAATTGTTTATTAGATTTTACTTTCAAGTCTTTTTAAAGATTTTGAGGTGCCACACTCCAGAATTCTTGAAGCAACTCTTTGAGAGGTCCGTAGTTAATCGTTAGCAAAGTAAAATGTCTACTCCTATCGAACATATCTGCTTTTCAATGACAGTCCAATTTTTTCTGCTTCATTTTGGTCGACAGACTTTTTTAACCGGACGCATATTTTATATTTTAATTACTTTAAACTGCATGGTATTCTTTACCAGCACTGGGTCGATACTACTGCACGTGGTTATACAGCCGGAATAACACATAATATATTGTGTATTTATAATTCGTCTCAAATTTAGTCTAACAAAATCCTTTAAGACAGACAAAACCTTATCATCCTTTACGACAGACAGAACATTATCATCCTTAACGACAGACAGAACCTTATCATCCTTAATGACAGACAAAACATTATCATCCTTAATGACAGACAAAACCTTATCATCCTTTACGACAGACAGAACATTATCATCCTTTACGACAGACAAAACATTATCATCCTTTACGACAGACAGAACCTTATCATCCTTAATGACAGACAAAACCTTATCATCCTTTACGACAGACAGAACATTATCATTCTTTACGACAAACAAAACGTTATCCTCCTTCACGACAGACAGAACATTATCATCCTTTACGACAGACAAAACCTTATCATCCTTTACGACAGACAAATCCTTATCATCCTTTACGACAAACAGAACCTTATCATCCTTAATGACAAACAAAACATTATCATCCTTCACGACAGACAGAACCTTATCATCCTTTACGACAGACAAAACCTTATCATTCTTTACGACAGACAAAACCTTATCATCCTTTACGACAGACAGAACATTATCATCCTTTACGACAGACAAAACATTATCATCCTTTACGACAGACAAAACCTTATCATCCTTTACGACAGACACAACATTAGTATCCTTTACGACAGATAAAACATAGCTGAACGGAAAGGTACACCATCAGCTTGGCACTGTACATCATGTACAGTGTTACAACCCTAGATAAAGCCGACGAGGAAAGTCTTTACTCGATTAACGAAAGCTATATATTTTTATATAACCTAGTTGGTCGAATGGTCTATGGCGCTTGTCACAGTGAGCGGTGTTGCCATGATGTCACAGAAGCAAGGGTTCGAATCCCGCTGAGGGTGGAACAAAACGTGGCTAATGCAAGTTTGTTGATCTAACATTGTTGGGCTAAATTTTACACGATTGATATGTATATTATTGTGTTATCCCTGTTTGACAACGTGCTATCCGGTGTTATCCGATGGAAAATGTATGTCATGAAGTTGTCACATGTTAAGACGTATATAATTAAATTAATATTTGATGTGGCGGCATGATAAGTAACATTATCATTCTTTACGACAGGCAAAACATAGCTGATCTAAAAGGTACATGGATCAACTTGCAACTATACATCATGTACTGTGTTATTACCCTAGATAAAGCCGACTAGGAAAGGCATTACTCGACTAACAAAAGCTATATTTTTATATAGCATAGTTGGCCGAGTGGTCTAGGGCGCTGGACATAGTGCAGGCGCTAGCTGTTGCCACGATGTCACAGAATCAAGGATTTGAATCCCACAGAGGGAAGAACACATATTTGCTAGCGCAAATTTGTAGATCTAACATTGTTGAGCTAAATTTGAGACGAATAGGATATAAATGTTTTGGGTAGACAGTTAAAATCATATCACCAACACATGAAATGAAATGGACAAACAAAGAATTAAAAATACAACAATAAAAGTTTTTATTTTCAGCTAGTTTACAAGCTAAAAGTAAGTATTTCAATATCTTTTTTTGTACTTATATGTATATTGCTTCTGTGACTACTTAGAGCGTAACATATGGTACTAAGGGGAGCTTTCACCCCTAAAATCCGATTCTTTATTTTACATTGATAAATAACGAAGTAGTTAACAACATTTATATATTTTTTTTTATCTAACAAAGGATAAATGGACGGCGCTATTAATCTTATTTTATTTCTATTAGACTAATTTTATTCATGGATTCAGGCCCCCCTGGTTCAGTATTGTGTCTCATCACATTGATACCAAATAGTGTATTACATAAGGGAAATTAGAGAGGACATGCACAGCCCAACATTGAACGGGAAAAGTCATTAAAATAACAAAAAAAGTTGAAAACAAAGCTTTGAATCATGATTGACCACATGAAATAAAAGTGAGGACAAATACAAATGGCCGTCGTCAAAGTCGATCTTTTTCAAAAATGAAATAATCCCTTGTTTAATGTTATAGTGCTCACACACATATTATGTAATTTTAATCATCAGGTTTTTAATCTTTAGAACATGCAAAATTCCTTTAAGAAATTAAAAACTAGAGGCTCTAAAGAGCCTGTGTCGCTCACCTTGGTCTATGTCAATATTCAACAAAGGACACTCTCCAACATTATAGACGAGAAGCGAATTCATGAAAAAAAATCTCTGTTTTGTTGATTTTGAATTGGTGATCATTTAGTTTGTTTAGTTTCTCTCTTATCTTCTTTAGTTTTTGCTCAAAACACAAAAGAGGGTAAAAAAAAATCCTCATTTAAGGGCAATCACTCCTATAAAGAGTGACAGTCTACTAACTATATCAGCAAAATTTAACTTGTTAGTAGATCTTGACTTGTTGATCATTTTTGTGATTTAAGTATATATTTATCTATTATAATTTTTTTCATATAAAGCAAAATGCAAAAAAAAATTGGTGAAAATCGTCATTAATGGGCAATAACTCCAATAAGGAGTCGTTGGACGATTTCCTCTATTGGTCTTAATTGTAGTTCATGACTTGCTGATCATTTTTGCTTATTTAAGTTTCTATTTATCAATTATATGTTTTAAGATATAAGGCAAAAACGGAAAAAATTGGTAAAAATCTTCATCAAAGGGCAATAACTCTAATAAGGCGTCGACTGACAATTTTGACAATGCAAACTTATTTGTAGAAATTGTCTTGTTGATCATTTTTGCAATTTAAAGTTTCTCTCTATCTATTATAGATTTCAAGATAATAGGCAAAAATGAAAAAAAAGGTAAAATTTGTCATTTAAGGGCCATTACTCCTATAAGAAATCGTCTGACAGTTTTGAAGTAATGCACATTTGGTAGAGCTCATTATTTTGAACATTTCTGCCTTTGTCAGATTTTCTCTATTTATAACGGTTTTCAAAATAGTAGAAAAAACTTGCATTTTACCCCTATGTTCTATTTTTAGCCATGGCAGCCATGTTTGTTGGCTAGCAGTGTCATCGGACACATTTTTTAAAACTATATACCCCAGTAATGATTGTGGCCAAGTTTGGTTAAATTTGGCCCAGTAGTTTCCGAGGAGAAGATTTTTGTAAAAGTTAACGGACGACGGACGACAGACGATGGACGCCAAGTGATGAGAAAAGCTCACTTGGCCCATTTGGGCTAGGTGAGCTAATAAGGCATTTGCGTCTATATATACATCCCAAAATATCAAAATGAAATTATGCATAATAATTTTCTTATTTTTTCTGTTACAAATGCCGGATTAGTGAAAAACATTTAGAACACTAAAAAGTATACGCAATCATTATTAATCACAGTTAATACTTTAAAAGAAATATAAGGACAAGCATAGATGTGATGACAAATTTGGCAATGACGTCATTTAAATAAAATCGACATAGAGCTCAATAGTCGTCCAAAGTACTTTTTTTGAAAACGAAATGCAATTGTCTCAAAACATCAAATTGAGGGGAAAACACATCATCTGGAAAAAAATATTTTGCTGATTCGATATTTCAAGACATGAAATGTTAAGAAACCGTAAGTTGCTGAAAATATAATCTGACTTGCACTTGGTACCTTTATAATCAATATATAAATTACCAATACCGAATAATGTTTTTATAATTCCTTTCACTGATTGTATAGCACTTTTTATTCGAATTTTCATTTTTTATGCAATAAACTTGTGAGAAATAAAACTTTTTGTCATACATAAATGCGAGATACATTTCATCGGTGTATTGGTGTATCCGTTTGAAATCTGTTAAATCATCGAAAAAATAAAAACAGCTAAAACATTGTCAGCATAATAAACGAAAATGACAGTAACAGCAACATTCTATATTTTCAAAGAATAAACCCTCAGCTCATAGTTACATGATATGTTGGATAAATGTTAAGTAGATAATAACATAATACAACAATTTCTCTAATTCTTTGGCAATTCAACCCTTTCCGGACCCATTGTATAAAAAATTTAATCAACGTGTGGTTATCGATGTTCTCAGAAGATGATTGGATGAATTTAAGGGTCATAACCTTTATCAGCTCACTGGAGGAATCAAAATCTGCTAACAGTTAATGTTAATGAAATTGAAAACTTTGTGGAATGTGGAAGGCACTCGAAGGGTTTTCGTTTATCAAAAATAAAAAATTTATTTGATTATCATTAGAGAAACAGATTCTTATATAATTACTCGTGGATTATCGGATTTATCCAATCTCGATAGTTAAATTATCAATTTTAAAGTCCTCGTCGAGGCTTGGACTTTAAAGTTCGATAATTTAACTATCTCGATTGGATAAAACCGATAATCCACTGGTACCAATGTAAGAATCTATATTTAACCAACAATACATTTAGATAAACATTGTATACACCTTAATCTACGTGCAAATTTATGATATATCATTATATATAAAACCAATACTATCTCAGTCAGCAAATCAAGAAATTATAAAAGTAAAACAAGAACATCTTCGTTATAACGTCCATAGAAAGGATCATTGTTTTTACAACTTTTAAATTTTTATTTTTTTTAAGTTTACATTTCATTTCAGCGACAACACCAGTACCTTTAACAACGACAACAGGTAAACATCCCATTATTCAACAAATTAATTGCGTTACAAAAATTACAACAATCATATTCATTTAATAATTTGGTCACAAAAACAGTCTTAAATCTCTGACTATATTTTTTATGAACGGATACCAACAGGGGATGAATTGTATGTTAGATTTGAAAGATTGAAATTATCATTAGTTTGTTTGTCATAAATGTAACAACAGCTTCAACCGCTTGAGTAGATGCTGTGAAAGCTCTAAATATCAGCACAAGCCGAAAGAAATTCACTGTTTTTTATGGCAATGTACATATTTCAAAACTCATCAAAGATTTTTTCAAGGGCCTTCGATTTATTTACTTGGTGATTTTATTTTGGGAAATCCGGAATGTTTTGTTATATTTTCAACAAAATTGGGTATGTGCAAACGTATGTTGCATGAAACAGTATTTGCTTAAGGTTTCATTTTTTATCATAATGTTTTTAAATAAGAATAAGGTATGGCAATTGAATTTTGAAATAAAAAAATACTTTAAATCTACCAAATAACCAGTTTTCCATAAGACATTAGTCTGTCGGAAATCAGTATTTTGATTATTAATTTTGTTTTACATATTAGCATGAGGATTTCAAACTTGCTGTTCGGTGTGAGCCAAGGCTCCGTTTTGAAGCCCGTACTTTGACCTATAATTGTTAACTTTTTATACATTGTGACTTGGATGGAAAGTTGTCTCATTGGCACTCATACCACATCTTCTTATTTATCCATACATTTAGTGAAAACCACCAAAACTGCCAAACAGCAAAATTTTGTACCCTTTCTTTTATAAACGAAAAAATATTTTGCTGCAAAAGGTTTTTGACAAAGATGATAATGGTAGGCATATCAGGAAACACTTACCCTGTCGTCGCATCCAGTCTCTTTTTTTTATAGTTTATTCGAATCTATTTACGAGATTTGAACATCGATAAACTACTACTGATTTAAAATTTTAAAATTTCAGGTAAAAATATGTCAATCTGGACAGGTTCATGACGTCACAATGACATAAAAAGTGACTTTTCTGCACTAAAGTTTCAGATTTAATTTTATCGTTATATTATTAACTATTGGATATTCATTTGACATCAACCATATAAATTTTGATTGGTCATTTAAAAATTTAGAAAATTAATCTGAAATGTAACTGGACCTTTCATTGTTACATAATTTACAAATCTTTTGTCTGGAGGTATTCCTTTGTGTCTCTCCTTTTCTATTTCAAGTTCATGGGCACTGATTCCAAATTTGGTTAACTCATTTATTGTTATCTAGGCCAATATTACTTTCAAATAGTCTATTTATTTCCTTGCACCATGCCAGGTTTTTCATATGAAATGCGTCTTATAAAGGTATATATTTTTTTATAATTGTTTTGGTTCAGTTTGCTTTGTTTTGAGATTGAAGGACGATGCAAGGAATAAATTTTATCCTTGGCGAATTTTTAACAATGAAAATTGTTATGTCCATATTGTTAATCTTTAATTTTTGGCGGGATTTCTGAGAAATTCAATGTAATTGATGAAATTTAAATCAAACTGTATAAAATGTAGCGGTATTTTAAAAAAATGAAAACATGTATCGGAATTAAGCCGAATTTCTTTTTTCAAAAATACTAAGAATTAAAGCGATTGCTTCGGAAACAGTAAATGCATTGCCAAGAAGAAAGCCAGGAGATTAGAAAATGATTGAAAACATTATTACCGAATAATTCTGTTACGTTTAAAAATATATTTCATTGTAACAACATGAAATGTGCTCTGTTGAGTGAAATATTTTTTGGACTATTTGTTTATAATTCTTATTGATATAATGTACGGATATTTTAAATACAAAAGCAGGTACAACAACACCACTACAATGCATAGATCGTGAAACAAAGTGCAGTGATCCATTTATTCAATCGATCGTGTGTAAAGCGACAGACCAGTTTCACAAAGATTATGCCCTGCAGACGTGTCCAAAGGCTTGTGATTTGTGCGATGAGCTCCTTGGTACGTATTATATCAAAAGTTATAAAAAGGATAACTTTTATTATTTGGTTGTTGTCTGTCATATTTGTTTTTCTTTTACTTTTATGTCATAAATCAAGCCGTTGGTTTTTACGCTTGAATTGTGTCACATTTTGTCATGTTGTGGTCTTTTATATCTGTTTTTTTGGTATAGGTTTTTCCCATTAATGAAGGTCGTACGGTGAACTATAGTTGGTAACATCGACGATATTTGGATTCTTGAAGATAGTTCTCTCATTGGAAATTATACCACATTTCCTTATTTTTATAAAGCAGTACAAACAAGAAAAAATAAAATATTAAATCATATAACAAAAAAAATACAACAACCCACCATTTTGATAATTAACCAAAGATGAAGTCTTAAAATAATTTCCAAACGATGAAAAGGTATTTTTGCAGTGATCTAGATTGTTCCAATTCGCAGTTCAAAGCAAAGTTTAAATATTTGCATATCTAGTTTACATACCACTCTTTGAATAATGTAGTTATATTTCCCTAATATTTTATCTTTTGCAGGATCAATAGGTACAGCGTTTGGGTAAGTATAAGTAGAATTGTATGAATTATAAAGGTTAACAGGAAAAAAATGTACGACTTTACTAGTATATGAATGCCGGTATAGACGGCCGGTAAATGGGATGTGTTTCTTGTACAGTCAATAATTACTGAGTTTTAATTGTACATGTCGAAGTATTCATACATGTACATAAAAGAGAGGCGAAATATATCAAAGGGATAAATGTCCATGATAATAAACAATTATATTGGTTATATATTCATTTTAAAATTTTAAAAAACATAAACAAAACAAAAGTGAGTAAGAGAGAAGTAGCTTTATTGATTTACGTCTGCAAAGATGACGCTTAAAACAAATTCCAAACCACAAAAAAAAATAGACTGAGAAATGCAGTTTTATAGAACATTTATCTTTTCTGTTACTGGATTAAAATGACAGTGTTTTAACTTGTAATCAGTTGTGATCAAAACAGATCAATAGAAAATATGAGATCAAAAGACTATATAACGTCTGGTCAAAAATATATGAATTATACAAGCCTTTAATTCAAAGCAAGATATGATAATTAGTTTTCAATACAACTTATGGAATAATTGATTTGTTCAGTACCGTTTCTTAAAACAAACACATGTTTAAAAGCTACGACATAAATCGTATTTTGCTCTGATTAAATTTCTAACTTTACTGTTATCAATCCACTTTAACCTATTACTTCCCTTTGTTTCAAAAACTTTCTCTTTTTATCCTTTTCGTTTACTAAGAATTTATTTTTTTGACGACAAAGATTCAGGTCCTAAAAATCTGGTTTACTCCCAAGGGTTAAAGTAATTATTCAATGTTCATTATTATCTAGTATTGAATATGTTGATCTTCTAAAATTTTGTTACTAGTTATTGTATCATTGGCTTACACTACACGTCTATTTATATTAATAGCAATTGGTTCGTAATGGTTTAAACATATTCATTAAGGTGATATCAAAGTTGGTATAAAAACCATATTGCTGTTACCAGACATTAACCTTTTAATGACTGGAACTTTTGTAATTATCTTGACAGTGAAGATAGGTTGATCGAATTGACTTATCTCTTCGTAATAACTTAATCAAATCCAAAACTCAATCCTTTGTATATCTTAATATCAAATGGAGGCTAAAGATACCAAAGGGAAATTCAAACTCATAAGTCGAAAAAAAATGACAACGCCACTGGAAAAAACCAAAAGATCAACAACAGTATACAAAACACAACATAGAAAAATTGAAGACTGAGCAACACAAACCCCACCAACACCCGTGTATGATCTCAGGTGCTCCGGAAGGGTAAGCACATCCTGTTCAACATGTGGCACCCGTTGTTTTGATATGTAAGTACCAACCAAATGATAAGTCTTATTCGGTAGGTCACATTCTGTAAAAAAGAGGGGGATTGTGGTTGCAACTATTGGATTATATCTGTCGTAATCTGTGAAAGAGATATTCCGTAGCGGTCAACCAACTGGTGATGGCGTCCGTAAAACGTATTGTCTTGTGTTTGAAAAGTTTGATTAATTTCTTGACACAGTTTGTTTCAGCTTCTCAATAAAAAAAATTAAAATCATAGAAACAGCAGTAAACCGTTTATGGTGGATAGGGAAAAAATATGGACATATGTTTTTCAATGAAATAAAACAATTGCTTGCTAAAATATTTGTTTTCCTTTTCAGGCGTTAATCTATACAGGAGAGATGCTTGCATGCTTGTTGTCTGATGATTAAATGGTTTTGTGTCAGTTTAGTGTGCATATTTTATTAGTAATTAATGACCATACTTATGTAGTTGTTTCTAAAGAATGTCGATTTTCAAACAGAAAGTGCACAATGGGTTGAAATACCTGGAATTATGTGAGTAAAATCCATACTTGAAAACCATGAAATAAGGTAATGTCTTATTACAGGCGGGTGCAAAATGGGTTGGGATTAAACCAGTTTTATGTCCACCCCGATTGCCTATCTAGACCATATGTCGTAATCATTACACAATGGGAAAAACAGAGAACGGAGAACGACCACAAATTTGAACGAGGAAAAAAAAGCGTCACATTATTTAAAATTCAAGGTAAAAAATATTCTCGCTACTACTAGAAGACAACATAGATATTCACAACTGAAAGATAAAATTAAGAAATATTGATTCATATGCTATCCTGCAAGATCTGCTAACCACTGCAGAGCACCGTAGATCACCCCGGTTTTTGATGAGGTTCTTGTTGCTCAGTCCTTTATACTCAATGTTGTGTTTTGTAGACTGTTGTTTGTCTATTAGTTGTTTATCGGGTTTTTCCATGGCGTGGTCATTTTGTATTCGACTTATGAGTTAGAATATCCCTTTGGTATCTTTCACCTCTCTAATGAAAAATCCTGACAGGATCAAAAACATGGAAAATCGTATCAACTCGGATATTTGGATACAAATTGTATAGGTGTTGCTTAAATGATTCTGCATAAAAAAGAAAAAATCACAAGAGGAAAATGTTAGTCATCTGTTTGGTCGTACGTTTTACTTAGTATAAAGCACACTTAGTTGTATGTTATTTCAAGTTTGCAAGGACCAATGCTATCATCAAATAACCAAACGTTAAATCATTCAGTGAATGAATATCACATATAATATACAACATTATGTGAAAATCATATTCCTATGGTCTTTTATCGATTACGATGAAGTTTTTACCCTCAGCTGCCCAAAAGTTTACTTTGATATCCTCTTCAAGCAATTTATTTCAATATAGAATTTGACTACACAAATGTAGTTCTGCCCTGATGTAAAAATAACGGGAACATTTGTCATCGTCGGACCATTTATTTTAAACATAATTATCACTTAAACCTCAATTGTGTTATCAACCTTTGCAGTTTTCACAACTTACCTTCATAATGTCGTCATAGACTGTTCAGTGTAATATAAAATTAAAAAGTTATCAGGGTGAAAGTCAAAACTAAATTAGTCGTAGATGACATCAAGAAAGGAATATAGGAAAATATAAAGAACATTTCGCATTATGCTTAGCGGTCAACTCAATTAGAGGAAAACATTGTTTACCTATGTTAAAAATTTGTAAATACATGTAGAATAAAATATACAAAAGCTGCGGGAATATGAATTATGCGAAAAAGGTTTGGTTGACAGATAAGCGTCTCCTGCTATGCCTAAATCACTCGCCGTACACATCCATCATCAGTCAAAAATAATCTCTTGTAAATTGAGGAACAGACACGTCTGCTAAGACTGTGCAACACAAATCCATCCAAGCAAACGAAAGGCGTTCATAAATGGATCAGACGTTACACGGAGAAGGCATGCAAAAACAGAGTACAATAAAACAGTAGTTTCGGTAAATTGGGAACACATTTTGCTAAATATCAGAAAAATGGATATTAATAGAAAAGTTAAAGAAAACATTACAGTAGTTTCGCGTACACAGTGTACACGATATATGCCACGAGATCGCACTTGAAGTATGTGTTGCATGGACATGGATAACAATGCGGACTTTTACAGATCGTATGCTTATGTGGTCAACGAATTATACCATTTCGATGAATATATAAGTATGAGTCCAAACAGTTTCAAGAAAGATAAAAATAACACCAAAGATAAACATTCATTGTTCCGTTGTTTAGACTGGTATTATTGAGGAATTTTATAAAGAGTTTGAAAGAGATTTTCCAAAACACTTAGGGCAGACCAACAAAACGTCGTTTTCTGTTCACTATGGAATCTATTGTATGGTTACGATGCAGAATGTTTGATCGACGCTAGTTAATAAGACAAAAATGTATAGTTCTGAGGATATGAAGTCCGTTTTGTATTAACAAATACCTTTCTGAAAAGGACCTGAATTTGTCAAGGTAGTCAAACCCATGATTTGATATATTCGGTGGTGAGTTAATTCGATGACAGTACACACAGAAAATGTGTCCGCAGTTATCTTAATTGTCAACAAAATCGTATTTGCTATCATATAAATTAGATAGTTATAATTCCAACTTGTACATAACTTTAAAGGAACAAAATATGGTGCGTTATAATCTATTTTGTTTTTAAGTTTAAGTAGACGGTCGCAATGTCCTGTTTGGATATTTGGTTAAATTAAGAAGTGTTTTACGATACCTTTATTCCAAATTTCCTCAAGCAGACCTATAATAGTTTACTTTTATAAATTTTGACTTGGATGGAGAGTTGTCTCATTGGCACTCATACCACATCTTCTTATATCTTCTTAGACGACATATGCCCATACACTGACACCACAGAAAATGTATAGCAAAGAGATATGCCCAACTTAATGGCGGAAATGACGATAGACTTTCTTTAAGGGTAAACATCCGTCTAAGCGTAGGGCATAATCAACAAAAAACTATTCTAATGTTTGTTTTTTCTACGGACATATATTGTTTTATTGGGACCTTGTGAGATTTTTTTAGGATGGTACATACAAACTGACGCATTTTCTTGTATCTGATTTTAGATTGATAAAAATTCATAGTATTGTCCTTGTTTATCTTCTTATCAGTGTTGTTTCAGAACGTTCAGAAATATGGATCTGAAATACGTGTTTCTTTTTGGTAAGATAAATTTCCTTTTAAAGCATGAAAATATTCATCGTTTTGAATATACACAAATAAATTTTGTGATCAATAAGTGGCTCAAGAGCTGCTATATAGCCGAGAATGTTTTAATTTTTCATATTTAAGCCCAAAATTGTGTTTCCTACTATGAAGGTCACATGAAAACAGACATCAAAGATCTTAGATATAAAATGTAAAAAAATATGAGTCACTACTCTCTAAAACAATCTTCCATTTGTTTGTTAGAGGTATATTTTTATGTTTAACCCCTGATTTAAATGTGGATAGAAATGCATTTTTATTGGTTTGATAAATTGTTTATCTCTTTTTGTTTCTTGTGAAGCTAGAGGTTCAATGGAACTGAGGAACACCGAAATGCCGTGTACTTTATCCTTGTCAATTTTCAAAGTATATTCATTGTATATGTATATTTTATTTCTATTTTGTTCAAACTTAAAGACTTTTATAATTTTGTATCTTTGTGCTGTACAGTAAAATTGAGAATGGAAATGGGGAATGTGTCAAAGAGACAACAACCCAACCAAAAGCCAGAATACAGCCCAGGGCCACCAATGGGTCTTCAACACAGCGAGAAAAAACCGTACCCGGAGGCGGGCTTCAGCTGGCCCCAAAACAAAAATGTGTACTGGTTCAGTCATTAGACTGTCCGATATGTATTTCATTTGCTCGTTTGTTGTTTTCTATAGACTTTTGTCATTTAGTTTGATTGTGCTGTACAGTCGTTAGACTGTCCGATAAGTATTAGATTTGCTGGTTTGTTGTTAACTATATACTTTTATATATATTATCACTGTATTCAGTACTTAGACGTATGGTATCTACTTGTATTTTGTTTTAAGATTACCACAATCATATTTCGGGAAATTGAATTAAAAAAAATCCTAGTGAAAAAAACATAAAAGCCATAATGTAATGAGATGAATAAAAGACCGACCGTACGATAACCTGATTTGGTAATGAAGTTGTGTGGTTCAACATCCCGTAGTATTAGTATTTAAAGGATATGGTATGCGTCAATAAACTGTACCCTTACAATACAAAAAACACGGGAAATTTATAATTCATCATCAATATATGTTTCTACATGTGTACAACATGCAAAGTTTTATATCGCTGAAAGTCTTTAATATTTTTAATTTAGGATTTGAAATATAAAATCAGTATAAAGAAGGCTTCATAGAATCCATTATGAAAAGCATCTCGATTGCATTTTTTCGAAAACCACTGCCCAACAGTCCAGATTGTTTTTAATAAAACTGTATGTTAAATACATACCTTATACGATTACTTTGTATTAGTCTTAGAGCATAACAACCATCTTATATCAATCAATCAATTACAATAATTTCCAGGGATCGTACTTTCTTTTTGTAATTTAGTAGTTTAAATAAAAAAGAAGTTATTTCATTTTTATTCCAGTAACTATATTGCATGGAGTGCATGGTAAGTTGTTATGTTATGTAATTAGACTTATCATCGGGTTTGTACTTACATAAGCAACACGACAGGTGCCACATGTGGAGCAAGATCTGGTTCTCCTTCCGGAACACATGAGATCACCCCAAGGTTTTGGTTGGGTTCGTGTAGCTCAGTCTTTAGTTTTCTATGTTGTGTTTTGTGTTCTGTGGTTTGTCTGTTGGTCTTTTTTCTTTTTTAGCCGTGGCGTTGTCAGTTTATTTTCGACTTTTGAGTTTGAATGTCTCTTTGGTATCTTTTGCTTATCTTTTATATAATGGTGTGTTGTTTATATAAGCTGTGAACAACCACAAAAGCAAACATTAAACATTAAAAAAACACATATAGACAAGGTAAGACAACTGGTGCATAGAAGCGAAACGATGACATGGAAAAATCAGAAGCTACAAGACCATACAATCTTTCAAAACAGGAAGCAAAATCAAGTGCAAAGAATGAGTAAAACTTGTGCCATTCGGTGGTAGTCATTTTACGGACAAAAAACCGCCGTCTCTTCATCACAAATTATTCATTTACACAATGTAAAGAAATGTTGAACTGTGAATGTAAAAGGAGACGTGTTATGATTCCCAATGACACAAATATTCGATAGAGTCCAATTGACGTGGATATAAGCAAATATAGATCAAAACACGGCCTTTTACAATGAGCAAAATCCATACCGTATTA